CAGTTGCAATCGCATATCGAGATTGCAATTTCGCCAGAGAACGATTTCACAATTCTTGGGAACGAGCTTTTTTTATTCACATCCGAGCGAGTTACCGAATTGGCGAAGAATCTGCAAACAATTCTCATCCCGAACGGAGCGCGCTTTTTCAGTGATTTAGCGGAATGACGATTAACGATCACCACCTCATTTTCCACCATCCCGCGACGAGTTTGCCTAAGTAAATTACCAGTCACAGGATAGTACAGGCTTTCTAGCTGACGGATCCCCATGTGACGACAGGAGGGATGGGGGGGAAGTCGGTAGCTTTGCGGATTTACGTGATACCGAAATACAAGCGGCGAGCCTCGCAACCCGGGGGAACTTTATTGCATTACGCCATGCGGCGTTTTTCCTATCACCGTGCGGTCTCGTTGCGCCGTTAGCTGTTAACCTCACCGAATTGACCCTACTCCGACTCGGCTCGGCCCGGGACGGAAATAACGTCCTTCGTCCTGCGCGGTATCCGCCGCGTCGGAGAATCAACGAATTCCCTGGATGACTCTGAAGAGCCGCGCGAGGATTCCCAGCGTCGTAAGAACGGCCATTAAGGCGGCGATAATAGCCGGCGATAATTCGCCTTTGTTAATTAAAGCGTAACGAGGCGATAGCTCAAAGGTTTCATACAGTGGATCTGGCCGCTCAAGATCTTCATCTTTGATCCTCCGCAATGCGACTCATGATTTATTCACAGGAAATTTCTGGAACACCTTTACAGATCCCGATTTTATCTCGAGGCAAACTCTCCGTCGGGATTTCTTTTATTGCCGCGCGAGATTCCGATCGGTCGAGATCGCGAAATATCTTCGCTCTCTTTCGCCTTGCCCTTTAACATTTCGAGTATTACACGAGCAAGCGTCGTGACAGCGACACGCTTCTCACCTCACTAGTCGTGTCGCAAACCTGCGCGCAAACTGCACCTCAACGACATTAATTCTGAGCAGCTAACTCTATGGCGTGTATTAATAGTTGTCATTTGAAACTTGTCTTATGTGAGATGCTCTTTATTCAAAGTTAGATTCAAGTTCTTCGATCGAATTACAGTTTGTATGTGATCTTTATAATATCGTGATTCAACTGGAATTGAATCCTCATCCAACTCTGAATTCAATCTGCACTGAGAAAAAATATTTGAAAATTTATTTGTGAGATATAAGGTTTAAGGTTCTGTGAATAAATTTCCAATTTCTTTTTTTCAATGTGAATATTACATTTGAGGCAAGTTTCAAGTAGCGACTGTTAACACGGGCCTATATCTTCAACAATGGATCTTCCATACCGTATCACAGCGCTCGGTATTAATTAAATATGCATTGCCACTTGAGGTTGTTTACACGTAGCGAAGCTCTTCCATCGATACGTGGACGATTTATGCGCAGGCAATCGATCCAATCGATATTGAATCGCATCTTGCTTCAGGCGAACGCTCCGTGCACCGCCGGGAGTCTTCGCAATTTGCGAGCGTAGAGAAAGGGACGACTTCGCGAGTGGAATTCTCGCGGGCATCACTGGGTTGCTCTCCCCCTTTCCTCACCCCTCCGTGTACTCCCCTCGCGCTAGTTGCAACCCGGTCCGGGTTCCTTCGTGGCTTCTCTCCCGTCGACGTTGCAAAGAGAAGAGCGATTCCTTAATTTCCCATATTGTGGTTCGTCCCGGCTATCCCGGGACGCCCCGCTGCGTTATAGCGCGGTTTAATCACACTACAAGCGCGCATCCCTCGTTAGCGGGATATCGTACCCGCGGTGGCTATAATACGAGGCTACATTCCGCGCGGCGGACGCGCCGCGAGATACGGCATGCCGTACAGGACGTTTCCAACGTCGGTAATAACCTTCCGAGTTGTTCGCCGAGGAACGGGGGGGAACAAATCGGCGCTCGCGAACTCGCGCTCATGCGGATCTGGAGTTGACGCGAATTCTCCCGGATGAGCCTCTCGTTCCGACACAGTAATTCGCTTCTTTCGAGCCGCGGCTCGAAAAAATTCTCCAAGACCCTCGTTATTCCTTTCCTTCCGATTTTCACGCAAAAATCTTGCCCCAGAATGCCAGTGCGTTTTTTGGATGGACCATGAGACCGCGAGACGCCGCGACGCGCCGTCGAAAACATTCGGGACGCCCTGAACGCGTCGCCGCTGCCGATGTCTCGTTGGATCTATAATGATCTTCCGTGCTCGCCGAGTGGGAAGAGCCGAGTGAGGTACGAGGACCGCCGTCACGACGGAGAGAACGCGTACACGCTTGAAAAACACTCTTAAGGAAACCGGGGAAGGAGTGAGACAGAGCGCGGGCGGGCGCGGTGGGAGACGCTCGCAATAATTGTGATTTACGGTTCGGTCGCTGGCAAAGTAAAGCGCGGCGAGTTCGTTTGAAACGGTGGCACGACGGCGCGGAAGAACTTGTCTCCCAGAGTGAGACGGTGAAAAAGGCGGCCGCGAGGGTGGGTTGCGACGACAACGACGGCGGTGGCAGGGCCAGGCGCAAGAGGAGAGGGAAAATCGTAAGAGATCGCGGGTTTCCTGCTTTTTGACAAATCGCCGATGGAAAATCCAACGGCCCGGCCGTGGGAAAGCGCGGTAAAGCCGCTCCGCGGAGCGTGCCTGGGAGAATGACGCTCCGACGTTGCGAACGCCTTAATTGGCACTCTTTTCCGCGAGCTCCCGGAAGCGGCGGCTTAATTAGCAAAGCTCGTAATTCCGTTTCGCGCTGCCGCGAGCAGAGTCGGATCTCTTATTAAGCGTACCCACGATTCCTCTGATCGATATACTGCGCGCTCTCGCGCCACAATCTCTTGCGATGCGTTTTACGACCCGCTAAATCCTGCAGAAATGAGAGAAGGAAAAGAAGAAATTCGTCAATAGCCGTGTCTCTCGTTCCCAACGATGCGGGGAGATGCGTCGGCTCGCAAAATTCGCTCCGAGATAAAGCAGCGCGCGGCTTGATACACGGGGCTCGATAGTGCTGCAGTGACTAACTGTGTATTATATCGGGGGATGCAGGTTGGATTTTAGCATAAGAAAGGCTTAGCGGAGCATTTCGACAATGGCGCTCGGGCCCTTGTGCCTTTCGGATCTCGGCGACGCTCGTCCGCCTGCTCCTTCTCTCTCTCTCTCTCTCTTGCCGCCTTCGTCTCGCTCGTGTCGTCGCGCCTCGTCGGGACGAGCGTGTATTGGAGTGCGGAGGGTAGGACGCAATCAGTGCCCTTGATTTATCGTGGCAATATACATTAAGATACCGACATTAAAACTAGGGGAGTCTCCCGTGGATTCCGAGGCTCCATTACCGCTTTAGGACGGCGAGAAAGAGAAAGAGAGAGAGAGAGAGAGAGAGAGAGAGAGAGAGAGAGAGAGAGAGAGAGAGAGAGAGAG